CTACGAGGCTTTCCTAAAGGTCATTTGCCCACAGCTGCCTAAGCACAAAGATTTAACAATTTTTAAAAATTATTTTTAAAACAGCTTTCAAATAATGTCCTATTGTCTATCAAATATGTATTTTAGGTGTTTTTGTGTGTGTTAGAAATAAAATAACTGTTTAAATCGTTTTTACCCTCCAATCTTTTAAAGCAGTGGTTCTCAACCTTCCAAATGCCGTGAACCTTTAATACAGTTTCTCATGTTGTGGCGACCCCCAACCACAAAACTATTTTCGTAGCTTCTTCATAATTGTACATCATATGTGTTTTCAGATGGTCTTAGGTGAACTCTGGGAAAGGGTCATTCGACTCCCCAAAGGGGTCGCGACCCACAAGCTGAGAGCCGCTGCTTAAAGCATTTACCATACTATAAACACAGTAAAAAATTAAGGTTTTGTCCAAGAGACTGGGGTTCTTGATAGACACTTTTTTGACTGGCCAAAAGATGCTCTGATTATTATTTTGAGATTGTACCACTCGCTTGGAGCTTGGTTAAAAAAAAAAGCAATATGTTTAGTTAGTTAGCATACAAAATAATGTGATTTAATTTATTAATAAATATTGATATAAACAATATTAATAAAATTCATCCTTTAGTTTGCTGTACATGGAAGGCGTCTGCTTATGTCCTGTTTAACCAATGAAACTAAAGACTTCTACAAGGCACTGTTCATTAATGCCAAACAGTATGGCACTCCACAGCAACAAGCAGTGCTAGAGGCATGCCTGGGGCATATCACATCATCTGGCACTGGTAAGCTTATATTTGGGCATAACCCAACACCTCGCGGTGAGCTCATCTCTAGGGCATGTCATATCATCTGTCGTTGGCAAGGTAATGTATAGGGTAATCACAGCATCTGGTTTCATTTAGTAAAATTTAGAATAGTTAACAAGATATGGCAAGGTGTGACGAGATGTGACAAGGTGTGACGAGATGTGACAAGGTGTGACGAGATGTGACAAGGTGTGACGAGATGTGACAAGGTGCGACGAGATGTGACAAGGTGCGACGAGATGTGACAAGGTGTGACGAGATGTGACAAGGTGTGACGAGATGTGACAAGGTGTGACGAGATGTGACAAGGTGTGACGAGATGTGCCAAGGTGTGACGAGATGTGACAAGGTGTGACGAGATGTGACAAGGTGTGACGAGATGTGACAAGGTGTGACGAGATGTGACAAGGCAAGGTGTGACGAGATGTGACAAGGTGTGACGAGATGTGACAAGGTGCGACGAGATGTGACAAGGTGCGACGAGATGTGACAAGGTGTGACGAGATGTGACAAGGTGTAACGAGATGTGACAAGCAGCTGATTTAAATAACGATGTTGCCTCTTCTTTTTTTTTTTTGGTTGAAATTTTTTTGTTTTATTTTATATTTAAAAAAAAGGAATAGACTGGAAGTTGTCAGAGAAGTACCTGGACTCTGCCATCGAGACTCTAAAATCAGTTGGACCAGTTCATTATTACAAATGGGCACTTGCAAGAAAAGCCAACGTTCTACAAAGACAAGGAAACAATCAGGAAGCAAGGAAGTAAATTACAATTTGTATTTCGGTAAAAAAAATCCTTAAGTTGTGCTTTTATGGCAGAGAAAAATGGCACCTTTAACTATGTTATAATATTATTTTTTTTGGACATTAGTTTACCATAGAAATTTCAACAAATATTTTTTAAAGGGAGAAGAAAAATCAGACGAAATCGTGCATTGAAATGTTAGGTTACTCTACATTTTCTAATGTAGACAAGAGCTAAACAACTAATAAATTCCATTCATAATGACTGGAGAGCTACATATATGAACATAATCAAAGATTTAAAAAAATCTTAAATATGCTTTAGGAAGTATATTTCAAAGAAAGACATTCTTTTAAGATAATCAAATTCTACCAACAGCATAAGTTCTTCCAATGCTTTTAAACTTATTTTAAAGTATTTTCTTACTCACTTTTATGAGTTTAATCTGCACGACCACAACCACGTCTGTTGGATTTTTGGACTCTTATAAATGTTTAACAATTCAACACAAGGACACAACTTTAGAGCTGATTTATCCTAGTTTTAATTAATATTCAGTTCCTTCCATTTACAATTGATCTTTAAAAAAAACAAACTATCTCCACAGAAGCAATCAATGTGGCAGAGGCGTAGCGAAGGGGTGGAGGACAGGGGAGAAAGACGTCCCCGAGTACCGGCTAGTTATGGGCGCCAAAATATGCTTTGATGTTATTTTATATATGGAAAAAATTGGGGTTTTTTTTGAGTTGAAAAAAGAAAAGGGAGTTAAAAATGAATCTTGTCCAGGGGCGCGAATCTTGCCACCGGGCGCCAAACACTCTCGCTACGCCTCCTCAATGTGGTAAATATTTATTTTGCTATCTGTCTTTTAGACCTTTACAAAAAGGTGGCTCATTTTAGTGTTATAGAGCCTTGCAATACACATTACATTTTTTTTTGTGCAGGTTTTTTAATAAAATTAAGGAAGTAAGTAACTATGACTTACCCGGAGAAGTGGATGGAATTCTTAAAATCTCGGAACAGCTGGAAGAACAGGACAAATTGACAACAGAAATTCTTGAGACTGTGCCCATGATATTTTTGGGTTCGTCAATAAATAAACATTCTTTGACACACATTTTGCTTTTTTTTCTGTTCACATTCTGATACGTTTTCAAAATATATGTTAAAATCCTTTAACTATTATACCTACGCCCTCAAAGTCTTAACACAGACATACATACCCCTGTTTTATAGAGATTTAAGGATTTTAACAATCAAAGGAAAAACATAAAACAAGGAGTTAATAATGCCCCTGGCAACCATCATGCTTCTAACTAATACACTTTGACTGCATGTAATCTCACTACGGTGCTACTAAGCGTTAATAATATATTTTTACAATAAGTTTATGTTTATTATTACTTATTTTAATTCTACATTTTATGTATGTTGTTTAGATATTGTAGCAGCTTTCTCAAAAATGTGGGAAGGGGCTCGACGGAGACCACGATGGAGAGTACCATTCAGGAGACACTTAGTAGCATCTGTGCCAAAGGCGGCAAAGTTATCCTGAAGTTTATCACTGGGCGATTGGGGCGACGCAGAATGACAGGGTGGACTTGCTTGCACTTGAAGGCTCGGCTCAGCCGCAACCCGATAAACACATGACCCAGCTGGGGGGTCAAAGCTTTGTTGAAAGACCACTTCCGCGAGACGTGGCTTAGCGACAGGACCGCAAGAGATACTGGAAGGCAGCTACACTGTAGGATGCCTCGACTGAGCAACAGCGATCCGTGGTGGAAGGTTAAGAGAGTAGAGCAGAACCTCATGACCCCAAATAAGGACGGGCCATTGCGCGACGCGCAGCTATCTTCATGGATTCGATGACAGAAGGGATCCCGACTGCCGACTTAAGGGCCAGGCTGATGAGACGATGTCTTACCTGTTGGTTGAGTGCCCCGGAAATAGGAAAAGGGGAAGGGGGGGGCAGAAGGTCAAGACGCAGAAACCTGCCTCGAAAACATGATTTACGGCGATGTCCACCAGATGAGAAAACCCCACCGAAATATCAGCCAGGACTATAAGAGATTAATGTCAGACCATATTAGATGAAATAACATTAATAGCAGCCTTTTACTTAAGTTGTAAAACGTCATTATTTTCTTTGTAAAGCTTTTACTCCCCTTTTAAATTTATCTTGAACGTAGTCAATCTTTGGTCCTAGTCTCATAATCGTAGTGTTATATTTGTTTGCCTTTCATTTCATGCAACACAGGAGACAATGAAAAAGCGAGGGACAGGCTTCACATTTTGTTAGATGAGCTGGATTCAAGATGTCCCAATCACCCAGAGTTGTCCATTCTGCTAAATAACATTGGTTTAACATTTGAAAGAGGTGAGGCTTTAGTAGGGAAACTGAGAGATTCCGAAATACAGAGTGAGGCAGATGAGAGTTCTAATTTTATTTGATCATAGTTACGATGGGTTAATTATTATATCATTGTTAGGATGGGTTCATATTTTATCATAGTTAGACTGAGTAAGATATTTTATAATTGTTACAATGGGTTAGATATTTTATCTTTGCTAGGATGGTTCAGATATTTTATCAAAGTTAGGATCAATTAGATATTTTATCACTGATAGGATAGGTTAAATATTTGATCACAGCTAGGATAGGTTAGATATTTTATCACAGCCAGGATAGGTTAGATATTTTATCACAGATAGGATAGGTTAGATATTTTATCACAGATAGGATATGTTAGATATTTTATCACAGATAGGATAGGTTAGATATTTTATCACAGATAGGATAGGTTAGATATTTTATCACAGATAGGATAGGTTAGATATTTTATCACAGCTAGGATAGGTTAGATATTTTATCACATATATGATACGTTAGATATTTTATAACAGATAGGATAGGTTAGATATTTTATCACAGATAGGAAAGTTAGATAATTTGAAAATAGCAAGGATGGGTCAGATATTTTATCATGGTTTAGATGGACTAAATATTTGACCCTAATTAGGATGGATTTTATGACAATTGAAACATTTACAAATGGAACATTTGGTTTATATATAATTCTTGCATTTAAAAAAAACAACACAGTTTTTACCTATTAAAATACTTTAAACTGTTTCTATATCAGAGTTATCTCTCTTGTTTACGAGTTATCCACCTAGCTTCACACAAAGGGTTGCTGTGAAATTAACTGTTAACAGTTTAGAATCTTATTTTAAACATGTGTTTACTTTCAAATTTTAAGGAAAATGAATCCCTAAATAGAAATGAATAGCCGCCACCCAAAAATTAAAAAAAAAATAATTTGATAGTCAGTAACAGTTTATTAGTATGTTAACCAGTCTAATGTCATCTCTAATGATGTTCTCATTATTACATTTAAAAGGTAACAACGATTTGAGAGGAGCTCTTGAGTGGTATGAAAAAGCTTACACACAGAGACGTTATCTTGAAAAGATTTGCCCTCAAGACATGGTGGTTCTACTCAATAATATAGGAATGTGCTTTGCAAGACTTAATGAGTTCGGTAAGCTGAGACAGCTCAGAGTGGGTTTTTTTTCTGGCTTATTTTACCTGACTGCATATTAAGCCATAGTCATTAACAAACTAAACGATGGCCATCAACTAATGAAACTATGGCCATTAACAAAATAAACTATGGCCATTAACTAAACTATTGCCGTTAAAATATTTAACTGTGGCCAGTAACAAATTGAATTATGTCCATTTACGAATTAAACAATGGTCATTAGCAAATTGAATTATGTCCATTACGAATTAAACAATGGTCATTAACAAATTGAATTATGTCCATTTACGAATTAAACAATGGTCATTAACAAATTGAATTATGTCCATTTACGAATTAAATAATGGTCATTAACAAATTAAATTATGTCCATTTACGAATCGGACTGTCTCCATTAATAATTGTATCTATGGCTATTAAAAAATTTAAAACATTTGTGTTTTCATGTTCTCCTAATTGATTGATCCAAACAGTCGGCCCTTCTCTTAAGCAAACATTTTCATTCTACGTTCATGTCATAAGTAGTTTGACTTGCTGTTTGTTTAGTGATAATGAGCCTCATTAACATTGGCATATTCAAGTGAAAAATGTTAATGGAATATGCACCTCTACAAACATGGTATATTTTAGTAAAGATAGTAAGTGAAAATTCACCCGATTAACATGGTCTATTAAAGAAAAAATTTGTAATATTGCAATACCTCAAATTTTTAAACTTTATATATTTAACAGAGCGTGGCAAAAGATGCCTGGAAAAGGCACTTGAAATCCAACTCCAGCGAGTAGGAGTTCACTACAATACGGCCTTGACATTGGCTCATATGGCTGAACTGAGTATCAAACAGTGAGCTAATTTTTGCTAACGTTATGGGCTCTTAAATAGTATTTGAATACACACTATAAGACTTACGTTTTTTCACTAGCTCTTTCAGTGACTTAACCTAAAATATATTTGTATCAAGAGGCGGATTTAAAAAAAAAAATTTTGGTGGGTGAGGGGGGATGTTTAAAAGAATTTCTTTTATTCACAATAAAGAAAGTTATTTATAATAAATTGGTTTACAAACATAAAACATTGTAAAGATGTAGTAAACATAAAAATAAACCTAAAAAAAACCCAACAAATTTGTTTAAAAAAATTATTATTTAAAAATACATTTTTTTGGCTAAAGAAAAAACGTGGAATTTCAAATAAATAGAATAAGTAATAAGAGGCAGTCAAAATACGTGGTTATTTGTGTGTCCTAGATTCTATGAAAATGTAACATTTGAAAATATTTATTTTCCAAATCATGTAATAAGTTTGATCTTTTATTTTCAATTTCGTCCAGGCGAAACTTTTTGGAAGCTTATGAAAAGTCCTTGGATGCAGAAAAAATACTGAAAAAGATTACCAAACAACATGACTTTCGGCTTCGTGTGCTGAATTCCTTGGTCCATTACAGAATAATTATCAGACAATTAAATCTGACGACAGCTGAAACGACAACGGGGCGCTTTGTGAAGTCTGCTGAAGATTTTGTTGATTACATGTTGGAGCTTGGAAGCAGTATACAATTATCCGATGAAGGCCACCATGACGCGATGGCAGCTTATGAGCATGGAATGATTTTAAATTTGGGGAAATCTCGAGAAAAATTTCAAGAGTACAAAAATGAATATTTGGTATTTGTTTTAAACAATGCTTGGGTTCGAGATTTGATGGTATCTAAAAATGATGAACTTGCTTTGGCCGCCAAACACAAAAGTCTTTACTTTTACATCAGAGATACAGAATTTGAAGATGTTGATCTTGAAACATTCATTAGTTATATGACACATGCATGTCCACATTGTCAAGAGGTCAACCATGTTTATAGTGCAAACATGTGGCAAGATGAGGTCAGATATTTAATCAATCAACGCCAGCAAAATATCGTTCACAGAGACAGGTATTTTCCTCCACAAAATTTGTAAGCCAGAAATAATTTAAAGAACGTTTTAAGAGCTAAGACATTTCATTAGAATATAGCTACTATAACCACACAATGACAATTTCCATTTTATCATGAACATCTGTATTTATTATAATTTCACGGTCATGCTGCACCGACATATTGCAATATTAACATTACAGAAGTAAACTAAAATTGAAAAAGAATCATGTAATGTTGATGAAAAAAATATTAGCCAAACGATCTGTCTATTTGAAAAAAAAAATTGGGCTTTGTGAAGTTGTTCTACTTTTGCAAAATCCCATAGCTTAAAAGGGCCAAACTTTTAGATTAAGCAATATGAGGTTTTGTCTGGATTTGTTGTATACAAACTAATATATTTGTGTTCAGTTTGCAATTTTTATTTAAATCTTTGAATCACCTGAATCTTACCTGGGTTGATGTACCCCTATCTTAATCAGATCGACACACCCGAATCTTATCGGATTGACACATCTGGATTTTACCTAGATCAACACACATTAATCTTTTTACCTGGAATGACACACCAAGATCTTTATCTAGATTGAAAGCTCTGGATGTTATTACATCGACACACCACAGCTGGATGTTACCTAGATCAACACACATTAATCTTTTTACCTGGAATGACACACCAAGATCTTTATCTAGATTGAAAGCTCTGGATGTCATTACATCGACACAGCTGGATTTTACCTAGATCAACACACATTAATCTTTTTACCTGGAATTACACACCAAGATCTTTATCTAGATTGAAACCTCTGGATGTTATTACATCGACACAGCTGGATTTTACCTAGATCAACACACATTAATCTTTTTATCTGGAATGACACACCAAGATCTTTATCTAGATTGAAACCTCTGGATGTTATTTCATCGACACAGCTGGATTTTACCTAGATCAACACACATTAATCTTTTTATCTGGAATGACACACCAAGATCTTTATCTAGATTGAAACCTCTGGATGTTATTTCATCGACACAGCTGGATTTTACCTATATTAAAACACCCGGATTTTTTTTTTACCTCGATTGACACACCTCGACGTTTACCTAGTTTGACACACCTGGACCTTACCTCGATTGTAAAACGTCAGCTGGTATTAGGTATTAACTCAAAAATAATTTCCCCAAGGTGAAATCCAGCTTTAGATATCAGATTAAAAAGCATGTAAGATGAAATGCCCAAGATTTACTTTGAAGATTTCTAACTCGATTCATTTCTTGAGAAACACCAGATCTCTATTAATATCTTGTTACTTGTTACATACTTTTTCTCACATACATGAAGATAATTTGTTGACATGTGAATTCTTAGCAGTTGTGAATAGAAGAATCTCCTGTTTGTCATTATTTGATAAAATAATATTTAAACCCCACGTAGTAACCTCAAATCAATGAACTTAACATTTTGTTAGATTAGAGGAATGAAATTGAATATTGTGATTATTTCAGGGTTGTACCAAGTGCTGTAGCATGATTTGTACCAAGTGTTGTGGCAAATGTCTGTTTTCTTAATTTATTTTCTTTTGAATTTTGTTTGTTTTTATGAAGAATTCTTTCTAAAATTTCAATGAAGTTTGTAAACAAATGACAAATAACTTTTGTACATAAAATTTTATGAATTTTAAATGAAAGTTAAAAATATTTTTTTTTACTTTTTAAAACAATTAGAGCATTCTTTTTATCTATGTGATTCTTAACTTATTTAAACAAAGTTAGGGATTATTTAACCATGTTTTATTAGGTAGGGGAGGTTAATCTTGTGAAAAATATTAACTTTTATGCAAAAGTCGAAATTTTTCCTTAACTGAAACAAACAAATAAATATTTTCATTAATTTTTTGTATGATACCTTACACTTGCATATAATGTCCGCGCTAAATAAATTGTAATGTTTAAAAAATAGTAAAATTTTGTGAAATGAATGATCACATGTACTATTTACATCAACTTAATGGAGATTGCCATCAGGGGGCAGTTCTTGTTGAGTTCCATGTCTTAATCTGAAAAGTGTCTTACACTTACGTGGGCGTTATTGCACTGCAGTAGTGTGAATCAGTGGTTTTCAAAATTTTAAGTACACCGGCGGTCTTTGGTCAGATTGCACGATTGACCACTGCCCAATTTATTGTTTAGTGGTCGTCCTAATTATTTTCACCTGTTGCGAACTAGCGATTTGGGGATCGTAGGATAGTTTCAGGTCCAAAGATGACCACTTTGCATGTGTTGATGTTGTGGTAGGGGGGAAGGGTTGTTGAAGTAAGGTTGGTCAAACATATGCCTCAAATTTCAGCAATTTATAGGTATCATTATGACTAGGATGCTATATTTTGGCTAAATGGATTGGAATCATTATGACTCTCCCATAATACATTATGTCATCAAAGTCTATTTTTATCATTATGACTCTGGGACACTACATTGTAGCAAAGTTTTTATGTTTGCTATATATTTTATATTATTTTTTTCTGTTGTTTGTTCGCTGGTGAAGGCTTCTTGCCGACACATTCGTTGTTTTGTTGCGTCTTTTTTTCTTCAGGTTTCCCCATACTTTGTTTCGCTTATTTCCTGACGCTTCCAATCGAAATAAATGGTATGTTCCACCAAAAATAAAGTTTATTTGAAATGTTGACTGTAATTCTACAATCCATGTAACATACCTGTGAACAAAACGCCAACTTAGGCACGCCACATCATTGGGTGGACAAAAACAACAACCGGAAATGTAAAAATGTGAATATGAATTTGATCATAAACCCTTTCTTTGCAAATGTATTGATCACTAACATAGTAATATGGTTTTATTATTTATAGTTTATTGATGAATTTTTTTAAAGAGACTGTTAATATAATTGAATATGCTGTACGAAATTTTAAAAAAAGGTATAATAATTGGACCTATCTTTGGTATATATGTAAAATTAAAACAATTCAAAATCCATGTTTTATGGATACAAGAAATAGAGATCTTTACTGTACTTTGAAAAGGCCTAAATTTTCTTTTGGCAATTTGACACTGATTTTTTAAAATTAAACATATAGATGCAGCATAATTATGTAGCGAACATAGGATATATTTACAACAGGCTTCATATACTTATTAATTCGTGATTTATCTGGACGAAGTTGAAGCAATATAAATTTTTTGAAATTCAGCTTACTGAATTGGTCAATGTGTCACCACAGCAGACACTTGTTTAGGTCCATGGGAAAGACAGAAAAATGGGAGGGTGGCCCTATCAGTTTACCACACTAGGTAACCTTTGTGATGCAAATTATTTATCATCTTGTGTCCCCATTCTTTTTAGTATTTCAAACTCCATTCTTCTCCAAGTTGTCTACACTCAGCATCTATTGTTCTTTTCCTCTTCTCGGCCATCTATTGGCACTAAAGTAAAGGGAATTCAATATGATTAAATAGTGAAACTGAAAGTTTCTCGCACACAATTTCGCTCAAAAACCTGATTATGCGAACTAATTTCGTCGCAATTATAGTTGCAAATGACACGAAACAATTTTTTTTACAAATTCTTATGATTTCTTTTTTTTAGGTTAAACTTGCCTGAATATAATGCGCAAATTGAGATATTTTTGCTTTTAATGTTTCCTCTTCGGAATATTCGAAAAATTCTTACTAAACTAACGACATTGCAAATACCTTAAACACACTGATAAGTAATTAGGCGAAGGAAATTATCACTAAATAAAATAGAGTGCAACATGTTTCTCAATCAAACGCTAACTGACACCAACACCTCCCCATCGCAGCGGTCAACCGCAATTGGCAAACTGGGATCAAAATAATCAAGTCTTGCACAAGCAGCAAACCATTTTAAAAAAAACTCTGCCACTAGATGGCGTTATATCATCTTATTGACTGTGAACGGCAGCAAAAATACTAAGCAGCGAATAAGGTTTTGCAATGTAGTGATCGGTTGTAAAACATAACGCACTACTCCTCGCCTCTATTTCAATTCAGTAAAAACACAACGTCCACGTAAGAGGCGTCTGATCGTGGCAAGATACACGCAAACTTTCGTAATAATTTTCCATACACAAAAAGATCTCCACGGGCCGGATGAGAGGGCCTCGCGGGCCCTAGTTTGGAGACCCCTGGTCTACGTTATCAAGCTTAGTGATTTTTTTTTGGAAATGTGTGAAGGGGGAAACCCACAAATTTTGTTACATAGAAATGTGATTCAAGTGTAGACCGACAGAAATTGATTTTCTTACTCCGACTGAAGCCGAAACCAGACCGCAATTTAAAAAAGTCTTTTGGCCGAAACAAAAAAGCTTAACGAGACTTTCGGCCAAAACTGAAGCCGAAACCATACGTTTAATTCCAAATCAAAAGAATTAGATATTTGGAAACTCGATTGCTCATAAGTTCTGCTTAAATCGAAAAATGGTAGGGGGAAATGTCTATATTTATTTATTTTTTTTATAAAAAAAGGAGATTATCGTAAATGTAAATAGAAAAACATCGTATCAATACTTTGACTTTTTGAATTAAAAGTATTTTAAAGTTGTTAAAAATGTATTTTAAAGTAGTATGGTCAAAGACAAATTTTAATTGAAGGAGATTGAAGGAAAAATCATGCAAAATAGACCCATGGATACAATTTGCTTTAATAATATAATTACAACGCTACCTAGATGTATGTTGAATTGATCAAAAGCTTATCCCATTATATGTTATATTGCTATGGCCCACTAAAATTGCTAGTCATAAGCCTTGAAGGGTCTTTTAGTTCCGCTTAACCATACATTCTGGTCGAAACACGTTTTCTTATTGGTCGATATTTAAATGTTTCGTGTTACCAGCAGTAGAAGACCTGGTTACACTGGAACTCCCAAAGTAGTACAGTGCAGTCTCAGAATAGTGCTTTACCATCACAAAATCGTGCAACACCGTACTGTAAAAGTAAATAAAATAAACATAGTGTAATCTATACAATAACTATTCGCATCGTAGATTTAATAAAGGTCCATTCTCAAAGTAGATGACTGACGTTCATGTATTTATATACTGTGCATTATTGCAAATAAAATGCGCTCATCATTTTCCACTTTGAAAGACGAAGATGTGGTGGTGGTGGGGGGGGGCGGAAATTGTCGACGCCCGCCGGAGTCACCCGAGCAGAAGTGGGGGTGGTGTTTGGTGACGAGGCAGAGGGATGCTTTTTGCGTATACCTGTATATAGTTCTTTAATCATTCTAGACTTACTCGTAACGATTTTGCAAAATTAGTCTCCCCTAACCAAGCTTTATTTACATAAGTCCTTTTTATTTTTTTAAAGAGTTCATGAATAAAAATATTGTTTTATAATTTATTACTTATTTCAATCTATTTTTTTAAATCAGTCGAAATGGGGGCGGATGCACTGAATGTCTCGCGTACCTTCCATACAAAAATATGTATATATATATATATATGTGCTCGTTCATGCCAACAATTTAAATATTCACTATTTGAATGAAGAAATAAGTTCCTTTGTGATACGTCCGGGGGGCCACACCATTTAATGTGGCTGGCCAAGAGGTTGCAAGGAGCGTGGATTTATTTTCAGTGAACATATTTTGGTCTAAGACTACCGCAAGGGATATCGGAAGAAGGGAAGAGAAGTGATGCAACAAAGCTAATGTATTAAAATTGTACAGCTGCTTTGTGACTTCTTCGAGTGGTAGAATATATCAAAATCCACCGTTGCTGTTAGGTTGGAATTTAATCCCCACCAAAGCCAAGCAACTCGGGTGGATGAAACTCGTTGGACTTGGACTGCAACTCACCTCAGAGAAGGCTAACTCTGAATTCAAACCAGGAGCCAAAATGATCAGTAAATTGAGCGTGGGCCCTAAAATATGGAGAAAAAAAATTACTTTTTAGGCCATATCATAAATTGATTAGCGGTTATCGGCACAGTAATGATTTGTTTTTATAAATGGCTGGCTAGATATCGGCGGAAAAATATTTAGCCTGGTGGCAACCCACTTCAGTCCACTATGCGGCGTTCCGTGCTGGTGAAATTGAGCGACCAACCTCTCCCACCCTCATTGGGTAAAAAAAGGGGGGGGGCGCGAGATATTGTGCAGTCCCCTATCTGATAAGAACTTGAATGTTTACGTGAAAATAAAAAAAAGTGTAATAACTGTCAAAAGCGGTAAATAGGGGAGGGGGGTGTAGTTTGACGATACAAAATGTTGTATTAAAATCGTACAGGGTATAGATCGCGAAGTGGATAGAGCGCCATTGGAAGTTCTAAAAATATATTTCAAATTCAGCTGACTAGAAATTTTAAAAAAAATATTTCGAAATCCAACGTTCCTGTGCAGGACCGAGAAAAAACCGAAAGTTAACTTTTCTGTTTCGGCCGAAACGGAAACGATGCCAAAATTGACCGAATGGCAAGTTTCGGCACCGAATCTCAAACCGAAATTCTGTGGTCGGTCTTAGAAGTGTCCTTTCACAGGAACACCAAACCTCGTTCCTTAAAGAAGAAAAATCAATAAATGCCAAACGAAGACACAGACAGAGAATGGAATTTCCCATTATCGCTGACGTTTATCGCGTTGTGCTTACCCAACATTCAGATCAAGCTTCTGGTTGAAACAAGTCTAGAAATACTTAGCCGTTGAGCCGGCTGTCACGTCTTTTAAGACCACGTAAGTATGTCTGAATTTGTATTGTATGTGCTTATATGAAATGATGTCGTAAAGTTGTAGCACCACTAACAGCCGCTGTCTTTGCTGGCT